GAAAACAACGTGTTGGCTTTCTTCCTCCTTGGAGTCAGCTCTAAACCTGGGAGCATCGTGACAGTGTTATTGGGCCTCTTGGGTGCCTGGCCTCATTCCTTCTGGTTCCTGCGCCCCGTCCCCTAAAGGGTGGAGGACCCAGGCCCAAGCAGAGATGCTTCTTTGTTACAAAGCGGATTCTTCCCTCCGTCACTTCTGCTTCTCATCCCCGGGGCCTAGGCAGCCACACAAGGCCACCTGTGTCCGGGGCAAGCTCTAGTTCAGCCTGGAGTCTAGCCTAGAGGATGAGGTCCTGCAAATAGGTCTGTTAATGAATCAGTCTCTGCACACGCCATGATAGCAGGGTCCCTCTGAAGATGGGTTCCTTCCACTGTGATTCGTGACTGACCGTCAATATGTATTAGCGCTTTACTGGCTGGCGTCTTTATCTCCTCGACATTCCTAGAAGCATTCCAACGCTAGGCCTAAGACATGACTCATCCCCCGGCCATGTTCAGCCTCAAGCCAGAGTGAAACCTGCATTTATGCAGCCAGCAAGTATACACAGCATTAAAATAATCTCGTGAGTTTTTTTCTTCTTTTGGAGACAATCAGTTGGTTTTTAATCAAAGGACCCCTAGATAATAGGGTTGCTGCTAACAGAGAGGCTGCAGAGAAATAAAGAAAAGTGACACACTAAAAAGAGCCACTCAAATGGGAGTCAAATTCAGCAATGGGATGCTCATAGCCCAGGGCCAAGAACTTGAGATCACCTTCCCTCTTCTCTAATGGCCAACCAGTTCCATAATGAGTCAATGCGATATGGGGCAGTGCTGAATAAAGTGTGCTAGAACTGTCTGAAACTAAACGAAGCTAAGGTACAGTTATTTTCTGTGACATACATATATATACTGGGATGCCAGGAGGCTGTGTAAAAGACTACTTTCTCAGTTTTAGGGCCCCCTCCCCACATTCTGGCTCCCTCCTTTGCACGCCCACTGCACTTACGTGAATGGCCCTTGAGCACTCTAAGTTCTTCAGAGGCAGGGACCTTGCCTTATTTGTCCTGGTATCCCCAGCATCTAGCATAATGCTTGGCAGAGCTGACATTCGACAAATACCTACTGAATAAAGTGATGCTTATGGTAATCAGCCATTACACTCGTCATTTATTGCTGCGCCATGAGTTACCCTCCAAATTAAGGACTTAAAATCATGAGCGTTATTATCCAGCAGTTTCTGGGGCTCAGGAATTTGGGAGTTGGGTGGCTCTTGGAAGGACACAAGTAACCTATCAGTTGGTGCTGCAGTCATCTGAGGCTGGAAGATATACTTCTAAGGTCACTGGTGTGGCTGTTGGCTGAAGGCCTCAGTGGCTTACCATGAGGCTTTTGGCACAGAACTGCTCACAACATGGCAACTGGCTTCCCTCGGAGTAAGTGGTCCAGAAAGAAAGAGATTGCAAGTAGCCACACTACCTTTCACGAACTAATTCCCACCCCCCCCCCCCACCTTGGTATGTCCATCAGAAGCAAGTCACCAAGTCTAGCCCATATTGAAAGGGAGGCTGTGAATTTCAGGGGGGTAGGGATCACTGGGGACCATCCCGGAGGCTAGTTGCCACAGCTAGTTCTAAGGGAACAAATTCAACCAACAATGACTGAGTTCCCGCCATGGAACAGAACCTGCGCTGAGTACCAGGGATGCAATGGTCTGTGGAAAGCAAGGTATGTGGCCCCTGAAGGTGGGGGCTACACGACTAGAGTATGAGGGCTCGGGGCGGGAACGCAGGAACACAGAGCACTCCTAGCTTAAGATACCTAAACTGGAACCGTAGGCCATTAGACAGAATTGTTATTATACGTGCCATTATTATGCACCAGCCACCATTTTTGGCTTCTCCCCAAATAATTATACATTGTCCTGAAAATACAGTGCTCTGTTGTGACGGTGAGCCCTTTATAGGTACAAGGCAAGAATCAGGGGTGGTTATCAGCTTCCTTTCTCCAACGAGGAACTTTGGGCCAGGAGGGCAAAGACTTTCTTGACTGCCACCTTCATTCTTCGGGCAGAAAACAAGTCAGAGGTGGAGACAGAAAATCTGTTTTCTGGGCCCTGAAGATACCCTTCTAATCACTAAATACTGGGAACCTGAATTATGCCCATAAATGACCTGAGCCAAACTAACCCAAAACAGAACCTTCCGGAGTAATTTATTTGCTATTTTGTATTTTCCTAAGTTTTGTTTTTAAAGTAGTGGAAGATGGGAGCATCAGTTTTTCTGCTTCTGTGTTTCTTGTTTTGTTTTGTTTTTTAATCCCAAGAATCGACTCTTCTCTTCCTAGGGGATCTTTATTGAATTGCAACACACTCGATATTATTAAGAATTCTGATCAGAGGTAAACATGCAAAACACTCAGCCAAGGGGATTAAGACTCTTTGTTAGTGTTTACGTTATCTGTTTTTAATTCCTATATATCCTTTCTTTATCTCAGTGTTTCAACACTAATTGCAAAACAGCCCTCACTAACGGTAATGAGTCCCTGGACCTTTGCAGACCTCCAGACAGAGCTCGGTGCATAGATAAGGCAGCCCCTTAACAAGGCTCAGTATCTGGATCAAGGTCTTTTACTGCTTTTCCACTTTCTTTTGCTCATCTGGGCTTCCAGAGGCTAACCCAGCTCACTAAATCATGGAGTTCAGGGTGATATCTTAGTCAGCGGAGAGTCTAAACTCAGCTGAATCTATTGAAATGGATATGCTGTTCCCGGCTTGTTCAAGATGCTTCCTTACTTGAAATGGAGCAGGGCTGAACATCAGTATATATAAGAGCGCCCATTCTACTCGGTTCCGCAAGCAGGGCTTCATGAAAACTGGGCCCTGTCCTCCAATTAATCCTGGTTCACTGGTATGAACTGACTAACACTAAATTAGGCTTGTTCTACACGATTTCAACCATCAGACCCAACTCTGTTCTCCATCTTTTCCTTCCCTGAACGTTCATGCCGCGTTTCGGGTAATGTTCCCTGAGTTTTGCCTGCGTGGGAATCATAGTCAGGCGTCAAAGAAAGAGAACGAGCTCTTCTATCAGCGGGGTTGGTTCAATTGCCACTTACTTTATTTAGCGAGAGAGAAGGTACAATTCTGTCTTCTCTTTCCCTTATCCCCAATTTTCCACTCAGCCGTCTCTATGATTACAAATATCTTTTACTCCTTTTTTCATTACCGACTCACCTCCACATTGAAATGGTTACCTATTTCATCTTCCTGTCTGGTCTCTTCCTGTAGCCCCCTTCCAGGGACTTAATTCAGAGACTGTTGCTAAGCAACTATACATCATAGCAGCCACTCGCCGATCACTAATTGTCCTCAGCACTTTAGCCTTACAAATCCGGACAGCCTGCAACAATGGCCAGGAGTTTCCGTGGCCAAAAACACACCCAGAGGTTTCTGAGCCCAGTATGGACAGAGGCACCAATGACCAGGTACCGCCGTCACAGCAGTCACCAAGACCTCCGGTCCGATGCCTCCCGAACCGCACCGTTGTAAACCCATCAGCCGGGCACCGTTCTCCGGTCGTGCTCAGGAAATGAAACTGGAGGTGAGGCTGGAAATATCTGAACACACGCACTGATGAAAATGTGGATGCCGACATTTCACATACATTCACCTTCCTCCCCGCTGGCCACCCCATTTCTATCGTCTCTGGTTGAATGGAGGATCTATTAGTAATCAAATTTCAGCCTCAATTTTATGGTGAGTGTAATGGAGTTAATTTCTCTAATGCTAGCAGTTCATGGAAAAGGTCTCTTGTGGTAGCACAGGCCTGGGATCCGCAGCAGCTGTCAAAGATGCCGCTAAGGAATTCTTTATTAGCTAAGATGCAACCAGGCAGAAAACTCATTACACAGTGCTAAATATACTTAATCACATCTATTAGAGAAAAATGAACTTGATAATTACAACAAATAACTAAACTGTAGAAAGTGTTCAAGGGAAAAAAAAAAAAAAAAAACACAACAACCCACACCAGGATCTAAGTATACAGGGAATGTGAGCCGCTCAAGAGTCAAGGCGAACTAAGAACGTGAGGCTTTGTGCGGAAGGAGAAGCCCAGTCTCCAGGTAGGTGGAGCTGATTTAAGTCGCTCAAGAAAATGACACATTTACATTTCAAAAGTGCCCTTGTTTATTTAGTATATGTAAAATTTTAATTAGAAAGGAATCCTCAGAGGGTAGATGCTTTGTTTGTAGACTGGTTCTTGGTGCGGGCGGGGAGGGGTAGGGGTGTTGTAAGGGAGCCCAGGGTAAACACTGGGTTTGACAAATAGAGATCTATAATAGCTCGGTGACACGTAGGACTTCCCTGGAGCCTAACAAATGTTGAGAGTCAAATTTGTCTTTTTCGTCTATCTCAGAATGGAAGTCCCTGAGGTGGTGGGGGGCGGGGGGGAACCTCCACCATCCCCGACTGAGGAATATACATGAGAAGCCCCACAGTGAATGTCCCCTCTCAGTTCTTCCCTGCCTGACCTCACTCAGGAGAAGTCGCTACCCACAGAGGCAGTGCTGGGCACTTCCGCTTCTGGTAGCCCACAGGAAGAACCAAGATGGCTCTGAGGTGAGACCCACCAGGAGGCCATCTCTGGAGACCAGGAGAAGGGCACACCTGATCACGGTTAACCGTGAGGAGAGAGATCAGGCTTCTGGGAGAGAAAAATGGAGGGTGGGCAGAGGTGAGACGCAACAGAATAAATGCTGAAAGGCAGGAGATGCCATCCTACCGTAGAGCTCAGGGGAGCCCCGAGAAGTCGTGACAAGCAAGGGCCAAAGCCGGCCGAAAGCGGGCCTGGAGGAGTCCTGACTGGCTGGCAACTCCTCTCTGCAGAGAGGAAGGATGGGCACCGTTTTTAAGCATGGGAGTGGCGGGACGGTTTCATCTCTCTCGAGTGGGCCGAACAAAAATATGCTGCTGCTACCTTTGACCTCTGACCTCTGACGGCGGCAGCAGGAGAGGCCCCC